TTTGTTCGGTACAAATTTCATCCTGCTGTTTCTTCTTTGGGGATAAAATTTGTTCAGTATCTCACAGTGATTGACTGTCAGCTAGTCAGCTTTTCTCCAGTTGAGTGATGGACTGTAGCTTGAAGGTTATAGTGGAATAGCTTTTGGGAAAGAGGAGCCTTATGTTGTTTACTTATTCCCCTTTCATCGCATTGCATTGAACATATATAGTTCTTTAAGTTCATGAAGGACGGTAGAAATATACCGAAATATTGTTTTGAGTTGATGTTTCCTTAAATTGTTCCTCTCACTTGATTTGTTGAAATAGCTCGCTAGAGACATAAGAAACTTGCTTCATTGCTTGTAATTGAATGAACTTGTGACTGCATTTTCAATCTGAAATTTTCTCAACTGGTAAATGCAGAACTTTGAGTGAGGTCCAAGGCTCATAAAGCTGTTTACAATCAGACTCTTGTGACGATAGTGGTGGAGTATGCATATGTAGTAAGTGTTCTTTATAAACTTTCTCCCATTTACATAGAGCTTCTTGTTATTACCCTTCAGGTTTCACCATTTCAATACAATAACATTGTAACAAGGTGCAAAGCTTTTTATTTTGCAGGTTTACATGTCAGATTTGACAGAACTTTTTAGTTGGACATGTCCTAGTTGTGATGGAAAGACCAAGGTAATTTGACTACGTTTTAATGTGACATTTTTGCTAAGGTTGCGTAAAGAATAGGTCCTCGGTACTAAATGGCCAATTCTTGAGATGAGATTTTATGGGCATATGCTGCCTTCTCTTATTAGCTTCTGACTGGTTATTAATGCCTTTGATTTTGAAAGCAGGGGTTCTAAGTCATTGATCTGATAGTTTGACGTCCAGTACTGCTTATAGGTATGTAATTCATGTTGCAGTGGCCTACCAATTTGCGATGCTTGTGATGCCTCTATGTTTGAATTTCATCTAATTTTTTGTCCTTATTTCTAATCAATATATATTACCTGTAGGCATATATTGGTGGCCAGGACCTTAATGCTGCGGTTATAGCTTTCAAAGATACTCAAGAACATAGGTATGCATGTTAACTTTGGCAATTATTCCCCTTACATTTGACATGCGAAGGATTTGATGAAAATTTAAGCTAAGAAGAGTAGCCTCCGGTGAGTGCGTACACAAAGCACATGGGTCTGCTGTCCATAAGAAGGGAAAACAGTGAATCATTTCCAGTGAGACATGAAAGTTATGTGCTTGTAAATTTAGATGGAGTCATGAGGAGATCACATGCTTCACTAATTTTGTCCTTGGAAAGGTTATTTGAACTTTTCGGTTAGTGGTTACTTCTATATATGTCTACAGCATACAGAATTGGATTGAAGATTTCTACTGGAAACAGCTTGACCTAAACTACCCCCGCATGCCTGTAGCCATGGTTATAGAGATGATGAGCCTCTTGCAAGTTGTGGATACTTCTGATTTGGAATGAGTTACAGTCTTATTCTATTGTCTTTGCTTAGGTTCATCATGGATTTATTATGCTTGTCACAATACGACAATGCAACCTGGTATTTTGGATGCAGTTAGAAGAGTCAAGGATTTGACATCAATGTCATGGCGACATGGCATTCTATGGGAGGGCCTATGGCATCCTTTTGCGGACTTGATATTGTGGTAAGATAGTTAAAAACTTGTTATGGGTTAAGATATTGGTTCTTCTCTATTGTGTTCTTCCATTTATTCAGTTTTGGTCTGTTAAGAGTTACCTGGAATTCTCTGCCAACTCTGCCTTGAAGAGTCTAGACTCTGGAGACTCTGGATATCTTGAACTTTCTATGGCTTCATATTTATATTTACGATTGGTCAACATCTTGTTTTTTTTCTTTTTTGGTAAATCAACCCATAGACAAAACACAAGCAGAATGGGTTGCAAATAACCCTTTACCTGAACCATCTATGGTCTACGTATTTAGTTGTGTGAATTGTCTTACATGTTAAGCCATGGAGCTTAAAGTTGGTTGAATACCTAAATATAGTGGATAAAGACTTCCAACTAATCATTACAAAGTTTACTTGCTGGAAATTTTATGGGATTATTGATATGTTTATGGTCTGGATATATAACTTTTGCAAGCTCTTGAAGCTCAAATTTTTTGTCATGTAATCTTGAATTGCTAATGCATTTTAAACTAGAATATATTGATCCTAAATCTGTGTTCTGTGCGCTGTTTCTGTCTGTCTCTCTCTAACCAAAAGAAGCAGCTCCTTTTTGGTCGGACTACTGGCCAGATATGTTGTAGGCTGGAACCAATTCTAAATGTCTAACTTATGCTTTTTGTCTCAGCTTTATTGGACAGAGTGGTCTAGAGTTTTCTAGGCACCTGTTGTGGAACTGGTACCAGAAATGGTACCCACCCCAAAGTCATGTCCCATTAATTCTCTTCTCCATGACAAGTAGTGATTTTTGAGGGTCAAACTTTGTCTTGGACACAGATTATACAGACACTCACGTGACCTACGATAGGATCGTGGGTTGCATGAACTTTAGTCTAAACCTTTTCTCGAAGTATTAATAGCAACTGTGACATCTTGTCTGAACACTTGGATGGTTTAAGATGTCATTTTTGTTTGCTGGTTTCTTGCTGAAAATTGTTCTGAGCTGATTGTGACATCATGCCCATGGGTCGTGGCCCTTTCCATGCGTAGTGGCCCTTTTTAAGATTTAGTTTCTCCTTTGCTATTAATGACTGTAAGTTTTGGGGTTCTAGAGGCAATTTCACCATGAACCTGGAATTTTTTCGTTTATGTCATTAGCAGGATATGACTCACCCCACCAACATCTAAGTGCTTCTTGTGGAAGCATTTAAATGCGCCTTGGTTGAAAATTCACCCCCAATACCACCATTCCATATTATTAACACCTTTTCTTGGATGTGAGGGTGGGGTGGGTTTTGTTGTGGCTGTGGGGTTTGGTTTTGGGAAAATTATGGATGGGATCTAAGACAAAGTAACACTAGACCTCCAACCCTCATGGAGAGAAGGGGTTGTTCTATCGTTCACCTTTGTATGTGAAATGCAATATATGGTTATTGATGCATAGTAGTTTTTCCCCTCGTGAAAGTATTAACATTCAAGTTATTTGGCCGTCTAATTATGTGTGGTGAAGCTGTTTTTTCCAGACCATTGCTCACTTGATTTACTTATATAACTAAGGACACTATACATATAACTAATGGACATATATTGTGCCTCATTTGCCTCCGTACTATTCTCGGTTCCTACAAAAGACATACCATCACTTCCCTAGGGTGGTATGACTTTGATCTTGACAGATATCAGATAAATTATGGGGAATTGTCGCTGACTGCATTTGACATTTGCTTTGCATTTATTTCAACCTGTCTAACTGGAGAAGTCTTATATTTTCCAACAATGTTCGTACTCTCATTTTTTTCAGCGTATAAATTTTAACTGTTTTGTTTGTTTTATCTTCTTAACAAAGCAGGGCAGTTTGTAGTACTCATGACCTTTCTAACAATATTTAAGGAACTCTTCTCCTATAAAGCTATCTTGAGTTTCTCGTACCAATTCCAAATTTAAGACGCGTAATAATTTGTATCACTCTCTCTCTCTCTCTCTCTCTCTCTCTCTCTCTCTCTCTCTCTCTCTCTATGATGGCTGATGACCTATTCTTAAGCTCTGTGCAATTATAAGATATTAATCATTTAAATTATGTATGTCTACTAATGCCTATAATATTGGCAACTAGCTCAATGACAGTCACGGATAAACATATTGATGTGAGATAATGTGAAAATAATTTGATTCCACCTGCTTGTCTGGTGATAATCTTACTCTTTTTTATGTGAGTGTTCGCATGTAATTGGAATCCTTCTTTTTTTGTAGGTATGGCTGTATAATATAGGATTTGGTAGTCTGGTTTATTAGGTCGAGAAAGTTTGTGATGGCTCTGGAGAAGATCCAGTTTGCAGCAGGTAAGGAGGTAGTTTCAGTCGTAGGTACCTGTTACAAGCAATTATTTTGTGGATTTATCATGCTAGGTGCAATAAGTCATGTGACAGATCAGCTTATTCTAGAGAATGCCAGTCCTTTATTACCGGAAATATTTACGGATGACTTATCAGAGTGTGTTTCTGCAGATCGGTAACTGGTAACAGCCTCGCGGACCATTTACTCTATTATGGTGCAGAATTAATGGCTGAGACGTGGGGATCATGCAAAATCGTCATGGACCCATGATTGAAGGAATACGGAAGCGAAGACTAAGGAAACCTTATGCTTTCCAGGAATCCTTCTTCTTTTGCATTGAGGCTGCGTTAAGACTCCGATGCCAAGAGTAACTTAACGTAAAATGCTCCTAAGTCAGCACCTAATTTCGTGAAGATCATTAGGTAGCTCTGGAAGAAGTTTGTTCACGTGATGCATTCCATCAATCTATTTCCATGTCCATCACAAGATGCATAGGATCTCTACCGAAATTCATTTGGAATGTAAATAGCATGAAGTTGAATATATCATCCTTGTAAATACAACTCTGTGATACCTATTGAATGAATGCGCTCGCAAGTTTACCTGTCAATCAAATCTTGGGCCTGTGGCATTTTTTACCAGACTCAATAAAACCTAATAAGGACGTGTGGATGCTGAGCTGAGCTATCCATAGCTGAATCACACTGCTTTTTATTTCCTTTTTTTTTCTTTTTTTGGGGGTTGAACTCGTGTTGAACTTCACAAAATTGGCAGAATTTTGTGAATTCTGGAACTGTTAGACTTGCATGGTTTGGAGATTAACTGGTTTTATAAGGTGAAACAAAGACTGTCAAGGGAGAACACTTTTCAATCAGTGACCTTCCCTTCTACTACAGGCTTATTGGCATATAAAATTTTCTCGGCGCAACCAAGTACTTCAACTGAGACTACCTCGAGCACCAATCTAAGCACACAATTTTTCTCCCGGTCCAGACAATCCCTTCAAGTGTTTTCTCGTAAAAGAACATTTGGGTACTGATAAGCAAGTTCTATTGCATAACAATGAAGAGAACACACATTTAGATGAAATGTAATAATCATTTTTTGGGCCCACAATAAAGTTAAAAAAAATCAGGTTTGCCTAAATAGCTTTTTTACCCCCCAAAACAGATGAATACAGGGTTTACCACCCCAAGATTGTGAGGGAACGCGGTCAACATCAAATTTCATCCATCATCTGCCTTTCTTCGGTCTCCATCTATACAGCTGCCCAATTAGCCACAGCTCCCTGCACAGAAAGATTTTTGCAAGTTTCTTAAACTTTAAGTCCCTCAGAAGCATTAGAAACCGGCAAAAAGTTGGTTGTTTGAGATGTCTCCCTTAGCACTTCTTGTCGATCTTTAAACCTGAAAGAGTCATCTAGTGTAACTTAAGGTGAATGGAAGGGCTTCTATTACAGATAACCACCTAGGCATAACCATTTCAAGAAAATGGAGGCAATAATGGAGATCACACAAGGGTCGATTTACATGATTTCAAACCCCAAGTGAGACTTCTCACATGTCCGATACGCCGATAATACTGAAATTTAGCCTCAATTATAAGATGATTTATGATACCTTGGCGAAGCTAAATAGTTCTCCTCTCCTGTTAAGATGGAAGCTTTGCTGCACCAACTATTGATGCCGCTACCCAAGTGAAATTCCTCTTTCCTCATTTTATAACTTCTCCATAACATTTGCAAATCCCACTAAGAAGCACACCTTTCCTGGAAAATAAACTGAACATAAGCATATCAATACATTGTCTTCTTCACAATAGCAACAATGAGTTAATCATGCTGTAATATTCCAGGATGAGAACCATAGTGCTATGACCTTCCAACACACATTTCATCTAATTGTTTACAATATAGCAAAGTTATCTCCAATATGAATCAGAGGGTATCAACTTCGAAATATGTGAAGCAGCAAATCGACAAGGATATCTAATGAATTGTCATAAATCAAATAATAACGATGCAATCGACATGCACACCTCCAGCCGGGAAACATAAAAGCAAGGAGAAACCATCCGCAGAGAATATAGCGAAAAAAAGCCAAACCAAACTAGGAAAAGAAAACATATATTTGTACATAATTAAGAACCCTCTGGTTATACGGAGGTACCATAATTTCAATACCTTTTTCAGATTTCCAGGCATCAACTCATAAAGTAATTAAAAAGTGGACGTAAAACTTCACTTTGGATGTCATTTTCATTTTCCTTTATTCGGTCTTCATTTGTACAGCTGCCCAATTAGCCACAGCTCCCTGCGCAATAAGATTTCTGCAAGTGTTTCAAACTTTAATTCCTCTCAGCTACATTAGAAATAAGCAAAAAGGCAGTTTGAGATCTCTCCCTTAGCACCTCTTGTCAATCTTAAAACCGAAAAGAATCCTCTAGTATAAGTGTATAACCGAGGTGAATGGAAGGGCTTCTATTATAGATAATCACCGAGGCATAACCATTTCTAGAAAATGTAGGCAATAATCGAGATCACACAAGAGTTTCATTTACATGATTTCTAACCCCAAGTGCGACTTATCATATGTCCTAGGTAGTAGGTAACGATATTACTGAAATTTAGCCTTAACTATAAGACAATTTATGATACCTTGGAGGTGGAAGTTTTGCTGCACCAACTATTGATCCGCTACCCAAGTAAAATTCCTCTTTCTTCATTTTATGACTTCTCCATAATATTTGCAAATCCCACTAAGAAGCACATCTTTCCTAGAAAATAAACTGAACATAAGCATATCAATACAGGGTGTCTGTCTTCTTCACAGTATGCTGTAAAGTTCCAGGATGAGAACCATAGTTATTATATGACCTTCTGACACACATTCCATCTAATTGTTTACAGTACAAGGAAGTCACCTCCAATGTGAAGCGAGGTTATCAACTTCGAAATATGTGAAGCAACAAATCGACAAGGATATCTAATAATTTGAAACAAACCAAACCAAATAAAAACGATGCGATCGACTTGCATACCTCCAATTGGGAAACATAAAACCAAGGAGAAACCATCCGAAGAGAATATAGCAAAAAAAGCCAAACCAAACTAGTAGAAGAGAACGAATGTCTGTACATAATTAAGAACCCTCTGGTTGTCCGGAGGTATCATAATTCCAATACCTTCATCAAATTTTTAGTCATCAACTCATGAAAAGGTAATTAAAAAGTGCACGTGAAACTTCTTTGTTCATATCCGTGAAAGAGTTTGATTGCAGAAAAGGGAAAACATTGGTTGTCAGATGAAATAACTTACCTCAATTCGTTTAAAGTTTGCACGCGAGGGAACAATTCGCGGTCGGCGATCAAGAAGCTTTCAAGAGCAACGTGCACTTATCCGTCAGTCTCCTCCCTCATATCCATATTCAAATTCGTATCCAGATTCGTCATCTTAGATCACTGATTTGTCTCTGCCTCTATAAAATCTGATTGCCTTCTCCGAGCAAAGCAAAGAAATTGACTCCACATTCAATTTCCCGCAACGCCATATTTCAACAGATTGCAGTCCCTTCAAGTTTGACAGATCTGGCAACTTCCGTAAAGATCCACACCAACAAATACTCAATTCTTCCAAAAATTGTGGTAGTTCGCCTTGAATCTCAACCAGATTATCGCAGTAGGACACACGAAGATGCCGTAGTTGGTTGAGATAACTTAGATCAGGTAATATCCACACCTGTTGAAGTTCCGAAAGCTGCAAATCTAGGTTCTCCGAACCATCAAGGCCTCGAATCTCTGAGATTACAGAGTCGGTAATATGAAGATGTGATAGTTCCTTCAGATTCGATAGATTCTCCAAGGAACCAAATGACTTGCAATTGTTCAAACGTAAGGATGACAAACTGGAGGGAAGGCTCGGGAGGCAACGCAGATTAGGGCCGTAGAGTCGAAGTTCTTGGAGTCGGGGAAGGAGACTACTAATATCTGTGGGTAAGGCGGTCATGTGTTCAGACTCCAAATACAAGGATAATAAACTGGAGGGAAGGCTCGGGAGGCAACGCAGATTAGGGCATCGGAGTCGAAGTGTCTGGAGTCGAGGAAGGAGACCAATATCTGTGGGTAAGGCGGTCATGTGTCGAGAGCCCAAATCCATGGATAATAAACTGGAGGGAAGGCTTGGGAGGCAACGCAGATTAGGGCATCGGAGTCTAAGCTTTTGGAGTCGGGGAAGGAGACTAAAATCCGTGGGTAAGTGGGTCACATAATAAGAGTCTAGGTCCAGAGTCTCCAGTTTGCTTAAATTCCCAATCCACCGTGGCATCGGATATTCTTCCACAGGCCCATCAGATTCCCCACCATCATCATGTTCGCTAAACCACAGCTTCAATTCCTTTAAATTAGTCAGGTTTGAGAGATCTGGAAACGTATCCATATGCAATCTAGACAACTCTAGAGTGATAAGACTTTCCGGAAGCCTCGGTACCACGTATATTGGAGCATTCCACAATTTCAAGATCCTTAGGGATCGATTTCTATAGATGCAATTGCCAATTTCCACTTCCACTTTCAAACGCCCAAATAGGGCATCTATTTTTTCGAGCTTCTCAATCGTCCAGAGGGCATCAGGTATTTTGCTCATTGCAGACCAATTCATCTTTACTAATTTCAAATTTTTCAACTTTCCGACGGAATCAGGTAGTTCTTTGATCCTCGTATAAGTTGTATTCAACTCAATCAGCGATTCCAAATTTCCGATGGAATCGGGTAGTTCTTTGATCCCCGTTCCAAATATATCCAACTCAATCAGCGATTTCAAATTTCCGATTGTATTTGGAAGCCTCTCGAACGATTTGCAAAATTTCAGAGATAGGTATTCAAGGCTCACAAGATCTCTACCCATCTCTTCTGGCAGCCTCCGAAGATTGTTACAAAAGCTTACATCTAAGGAAACTAGGCTTTTCAAATGACAAATCGACCTATCAATTTCAGTTAATGATTCACAGCCCCGTAGGATCAATCGTTCTAAATTTACCTCAGCAAAGAAGATGGGAGTTCTCTCCAAGCAATTGCATCCGGTCAGATTCAAAATTTTCAAATTCTTCATCACCTGTAAAAGAAAAATCATGCAAAGATTATTTTTTAATCTCATAGGACGGAATAATAAGTGTTATCTAGCATATAACATACCTCCATATGGCTCCACCCCTGCCAATCATGCGTAATCTTACTCCGAGATAGATCAAGAATAACCACATCTTCCATGGAGAAATTTGCAATCTTAAATGTTGGGGGAATACCGTGCCAAGAAAGCCATCGTAAATGCGGAAGGAGATCTGAATTCTCCTGAAAAACATTAGTTGGAAGAATATTTGATGGCGATTCGTGCCAAAGAAGCCTCTCTTCGGCACGAAAATATTCCTCCGAACCATTAACTTGAAGAAACTGCAGATTTGATATTCTCTTAAAGTCCTTACAGGTAAAACAGTACCGCCGCTCACGGTCAAAGCGGAGACAAAGAGCTTCAACTTTTGTTTTTCCCTGCCCAATGGAAAATTTAAAAAACAAAAGAATTGAAGCAAAACACATTTATTCAAGTTCACTATTTTGAGGGGTTGAGTTGGAGTACTATCGTTCCTTTAATCTTGACAGAGCAAAAGTATTGGTTTGAGTAGGTCACAATAGTGCTGGAGAACACAAAAAAGTAACTGGATTTTTTTTAAAAAGAAAATGTCCACAAGTAACATGGAGATTTATCGCACGGGAGATTTTACCTCATGTCTCCTCAGCAAATCCAATGCTTCCTTAGGATCCCACACCCTACTTTGCTTCTCTATTTTCATCTTTCTTTCTTGACGAACCATTTCTCTTCCAAGATCCCTGAGCTGGTCATGCATCCATACTTTATTATTCCCTGTAATCTTTATCAAAGACATGTTCTGCAAATCTTCCAAGGTTACTTCCGGAAATTTTGATTCATCCCAGAAATGAACCACAATGTCTTTCTCATATCCAATGAAAATACAAGCTATATCGAGGAATATATACTTTTGCCGATCATTTAATGCATCATAACTTATTTTCAGTTTACTTTGAACTTTATCATCAGGAACACTTTCTAGCATCTTCAATGTGGCATCCCACATTTTCATATTTTTGCAGGATAAAAGTGAGCCTATGACTTCTAGAGCTAGCGGAAGACCTCCAGCAATGCATATTGCCCTATGGGATTGGTTGATATACTCGTCTAAAGGGGAATCTCTTCTGAAGGCATGTTTGCAAAAGAGTCGAAGAGATTGACAGTCATCCATGAAATTAACCTCATAAGTGCAGTCCACTTCCGGAACTATGAGAACATCTTTATTTCTTGTAGTAATAATGAGTTTGCTCCCTTTACCAAACCAATCATGATTTCCTATAAGTGCATTCATATGATCCTTTTCTTCCACATCATCGAGAAGAAGGAGGACTCTTTTATTAGACAACCTGTCTTTAATGGTCTTAATCCCTTCATCAATATTTCTTATATCCGTCCATTTCGTGTTGAGGATGTCAGAGATGAGCTGATGCTGCAAGCGGTGAATGCCCTCGAGTTTTGACGTTTCACGGACGTTAGAAAGGAAGCAACAACCCTCAAAATTTTTTGAAAGTTGATTGTAGATGATTTTGGCAATAGTCGTCTTTCCGATGCCACCCATCCCATGGATTCCTATAATCCGCGTTTCACTTGTCTCGGCACCAATCATTTCCATGATTGCATCCACATGGTTGTCGACACTGACCAAGCAATCTGATACCACCAAATAAGCCTTTTTCAATTCTCTGAAAACCTCCTCGGTGAGTTTTTTTGCAAACTCGCCTTCTCGCCTAGTGTTTGTTGGAGGTCAAAAGGCAATGAGTTAGAAAACTGTGTTTAACCAAACTATTTTCTGACAAAGACCAAATTGAAAACTATAGACCTATTTGAAATGTGTTCTTCAACGATTCATTCCATAGTAGATGGATTAGCAATGGTACAGACGGCTAATGAAGAACCTGAACTGAAAAAATGTTGTTTGGATTGAAATAGGACAAAATTGGGATTGTGCCATGAATTAATGGGATTTCTGCGGGATAACTTTTTTTTTTTTGGTAACCCGGGAACCCCCGCACGGCCGACAGCCGAGGAGGTAAATCCGGGGTGTCGCTAGCGCAGGACCCACCACCACGACGTCACGCTTAAGAATCCCTAACGCCAGCGCTGGGATTCGAACTCCTACCCTTCGGGGGGAGGGGAGCCCGAAGCCAGCGCAGCCGCTGAGGGCGGTGGTCTGCGGGATAACTTCAGTAGCGTAAAATTCAATTTTAACAAGACCAACACAACTCTGAAAAAGAAACCGATTGATATGCTTCCAGTTTTAATGATACAATGAACATCAGATGGAATGCTAAAAGCAGTCACCTGTTCTTCTCGCTATGCAGGTCCCATCCGTTTATTGCCCCGATTGCGCTGAGAGCATCCTTCCACTCTTGCATAGTCTTTTTGTCGTGTCGCTTCCTTTTTTCATGTGAAAGAAAGGCCTTTCCATAACCTCCAGTTTGATAACGAACCTCTGCAGGATCCACATCATAAAAAATGGGCATGATCTTTTGTCCCTTATTTTTCTTGCACTCGACCATTTGGGCTACCTCCTTGAGACACCACACGCTAGAGGCATAATCTTTCGAAAAGATAGGTATTGAGATCTTCGACTGATTAATTGCTTTGAGAAGTTCTGGGGCAAACTCTTCCCCAACGCGGAGCTCTTCGTCATCCTTAAATGTGCGGATGCCCGCATCTTTAAGACTAGTGCAGAGAAAATCGGTAAAACCTTCTCGAGTATCCGGTCCTCTGAAGCTCAAGAATACTTCATAGTCATATCCTGAAGATGTTGACGTTTCGTTAACTCGTGGCGAAGTGCAAGTACGAGCAGCCCTCTCCATGGTTCCATTCTTTGCAGCTGAATCATTATCTGCTCTGCCCTCTACAGCGATCTGACCTGCTCTTTTCTTCAGGAATTCTTTAAACAGGATAGCAGAGAGAGCGATGGCAGCAACAGTCACCATACAGGGCAACCACAAGTACTCAAACATTTTGTGAGTTAGCAACAAGAAGGATTTAAGTTTGAAATACAGGGGAATGGTGGAATGGCAGAGACAAGAGGCAGCACTCAAGATCAGGATGGAGTAAATACAAGAAGCCAAGGCAGCTTCAAATCTCAAGGAGCGGAATGGGCCAGTGTTGTGGTCATTAAACTTAGAAACGAGGATTGGGTCAATATTCTGAGAGTCGTGGGCCAGTTTGCTCGAATTTGGTCAATAAGAATGGTTCCTTGCAGCCTGTCAAAGTTGACAAATGCACGTCTTCCAACACCAAAAGTGGCCCTTCCCAACCCAATTCATCGAGCAGGTATTGGCCGTGCACCGGTTCATGTGATCCCAATTCATGGACCGATAGATCAGGTGAATTCTCCATGGGGTCAACCTCATCCATCGGTACACAGTGAGCTCGGATTGATTAAGAAATTTTCTTATTAATTGGCTCCTGCTTTTTTGTTTTTTGGTTCAAAGGCTCCTGCTTCACTACACACGATGTCATCACTCCCCCATGTGACCTGACCACCGACAGCTGACAGCTCGCGCTCCCATCCGCCATAATCACGATCCCTGTCCTTTTCCCTCTGCTCCTCTCTCCCCTGTCAATTGCATTCTGTCTTTTGCTGCCGCCAAAATACCCGAATGCCCTCCTGGCGACGAATTTTTTTTTCTTCTTTTCTGGCATAGCTGATTTTAGAGTTAATATCGTTAAAAACCTCAAATTGATATGCTTGTAATAATTTTATTCTAAATTAATTTTTTGATCATAAAAAATCTCAAACTAGTATATTTATGATAAATTTATCCACAGTTTATTTTCGTTAAATTTTACCGTCAAATTCTTTGTTAAATGACACGCGATAATTGACGAACGTACCAATTTTATATTTTACTCTCCGTTTGTCACAAACGCGCCAGTTTATGATTTTTTATGGTATTAATTCAATTTAATGGAAACTAACGGAGGATAAATTAGTCACAAATGTACCGGTTCGAGATTTTTGATAGTAAAAAAATTAGTGTATGCTAAAATTATCACTGGTATACAAGTTTGGGGTTTTTCGTGATATTAACTCTTGATTTTAATGATAAACAGGCCTGAGGGCCTCTCTCCGTTGCTCAAAAAATCAAGCGAATTAACAGACTCGAGCCTCGACGCCGCGGTCGTGCAACCACAGATCTGTGGCCGTACGAGGCTAGCGACTTCCATCAGTCGTGACTGCCATGAACATAGGTTATGAGCTTTGCGTGGAAAGAAAGAGACGAAGGCGTAGAAGATGACTCGAGCAGGCGAGGAGTTAACTCGCCGATGGGTTGACACGCGAAGGTGAGAGCTCGTGATGGCATTGGGTGGGCGGCAATTCAATGATGGTGAGTGGGCGGCTCCCACAAAAATCCTAACCTACATATCCACTGCAATACCAATTATCCAAACTGTTTTTATGTCATCAAAAGTCAAAATTTGTTCAATAACCACAAAATACATACCGTCAAAGTTTGGTCCAAGACAGACATTGAAAATCTGACATGGCGGTTTGCTTGGTCAATGGCAAACTTAAAAACCTGACATGAATTTGACGTCGCTTGGAAAAATTCCAAAAAAAGGGCCTATATTATGTCCAGTGTGACATGAATTCTCCATTTTTTTTTTTTGTATTACTAATACCGCAATTTGTACTAGTGATCAAAAAGCATCTTCAAACGTAATTTCGTCCAAGAGGACTAGTAAATATCCGATGTGGTGACATGCATGAACAACAGCAGGTAAAACAGAGCTAATATGTATCTAACACGACAATAATATAGTCCAAAGTGACTGTAGATAACTTGTCAAAGTTTAAGTTTTTCAAAAAATTAGACGTATAAATTTTTAGAGTCCTAGAAGTAGAAGTGAGATGATCCAAGAAACGAGCTTATTTGAAACTCAATATGCAAAAGAAATGAGCTACAATTTTAACTTTAAGAAAAGTGGAAGTGCAATATATTCAACATGCTCAGGTCTAGAATTTTATATTTTTCTTCTATTTGATTTCTTTTCTAGGTAAACTTCTTTTAACTACACGACAACTCCTTCCAGATCCTTCATTGACCTTTGCACATTTTTTCCTTGCTCCAAATCCTTGATCTTCCCTCGTTGTCACTGCTCTGCTCACGCCCATTCAACACCAAAGTTGGATGAGTGATGTGAATGCGCCAACACCAGCCAGACCTTCAGATTTCGATAGGTACAGATTTTGATTAATCTGAACTTTATTGATACTTGATAAGGACAACATGGAGGAAGCTCATGGTGGGGGCAGCCAAGGAGGAGAGAGTAAAATCTCGCGAGATCCGGAAGTGTAAGAATGTTCGTAAGTTCTTAAGTCTTTTCAGACATAGATCCGAGGGTGACAAAAAAAAATTAAGATTGAAATTATTAAATCATGATGACTTGATGAGTAAAAGAAGACTCTTGAGAAGTATCAAATTCCTTGAATTGAGATTAATGAAAGATCAAATTTGTTTTCCTTAATGATAAAGTTGAGATCGTAGACACTAGACTTTAATTTACTTATTTTTATACCTTATGTTTACCCAAAAAACAAGGGAAGATTTTTTTTGAACGACTTTTCGGTAGGTCATTGAACTTAGAGCACGAAGGATAACCATTTTGTTCCAGAAACAATTTCCGAAATAGAAATAGATCCCAAGACGAGTTTCTCATAAAAGAAACCCGTTTGATAACAACCAAAAATTTTTATTTTTGGAACAGAAATCCATTTGATAACGGTATAAAATTTCTACTTCCTGGAACAGAAACCCGTTTGATAACAACATAAATTTCTATTTTCCGGAACATAAATCCATTTTTTTAGAACCCCTTTGGGAGTTAAACCCATTTTAGGGTTTTTTAGGGGTTAAAACCCCTTTTAAATCCCTAAACTAAGGAGTATTCAAAAATACCATTTGGGCACCTCAAAATATTTAAATTTCACTCAAAGTGAGTGGCTACATGTATTTTAAACTATCCTGTGAAGTTTTGAAATTTTTTATTTTTTTTGAAAACATTCACCAAATTTCCTATTTTCTCGAAATCTGACTTTTTTTTTATTTTATGGAAATTTTTATGAATTTTTCTGGAATTTTTCAATTTTTATGGATTTTTTGAAATTTTTTTGAGATTTTTAGAAATTTTCCGGATTTTCTAAAAAAATTTAATTTTTTTCTGAATTTTTTATTTTTTCTGATTTTTCTATTTTTTAATGATTTTTCTAATTTTTTTTAGAATTTTTTTTTATTTTTCCACTAGGAATGAAACAAAACTGAACCGGTTCGAATCAGTCTAACCAAGTCAGACCGAGGCCAAATTTAGAAAGAGATATGTTTTGAAGAGAGAAAATAGGTTCTTTTAGAAATGGTTTTCATTTCTCGTCCAGAAATAGAAAACCTACTTTTTTTTTGTTCTAATTTTTGGTCCAGAACCAATTCTGGAATAAAAAGTTGTTACAGAAATAAAAAAATGAAATTGCGTTATCAAACGGGTTTCTGTTCTAAATCTATTTCCGAGAATAGAAAACTAGTTCTGGACAGAAATAGAATAGTTATCATTTGTGCCCTTAGTGTAGAATTTTGCCCTGTTCAAGGCATAGGCGTCACTCAAATTTTATACAGGAAACAACAATTTGCAAGGATCTCCAATAAAGCACCACTAAATAACATTGGAAAAAAAAAATAATGCCCTTGAAATTGATTTGACTGGGCTGTAATGGGTAAATTAGCGAAGTGCAAAACCATCAAAGAGAATAAATATAACAAAACAAAACTAGGAGATGGAACAAAAGACAACATGTTCCCGTTCATTGACTAGTCATATGGCCCTATGATTAAATTAAGGGAAAAAGCCACAAAAAAATTCCAAACTTTGCCCACTGTGACAAATTTACCCTAAACTATTGTTGTGATACCAAAAACCCCAAACTCGTATCCGTATAACACATTTACCTCAAACTTTTTTCTATAACTTCAAAAAACCTAAACTTATACATGTGTGACACATTTATCCCAAACTTTTTTTGTGACAACAAAAATCCCAAACTTTTTTTTTGACACTAAGTTTTTGGGGTAAATGTGTCACACTATACAAGTTTGGGGTAAATGTATTATATATGTATAAGTTTGGTGTCACAAAAAAAGTTTGGGGTAAATGTGTCACAGTGGGTAAAGTTTAGGGTTTTTGGTGGCTTTTACTCTAAAATTAATGGTGCAAAACAGCGAGTAAGACTAACACTGTATAAAGGCTAGACAAATAAAATTTACCCGTGCAACTTTTTTTTATTGAAAAAAAAATCATTCATTTGTCGTAATCAAATATGAGAGGATAATAGAGAGCTTCCAAGTAAAGCAAATCCCAACAGAGCTGCAAAACAAAATAAAACCAAGAAAATAAAAAAGTACAGCTTGTAGCTATAAGCATGCTCTCATCCCAAAAGATGAGATCTGTCACAATATCAGAAAACAATCAACGACCGATCACCAGAATCATCGATAATAGGCATACGCTAAGATCTTCCCCTCCGAAAACTACGGATTGCAATGCGCGTCGAAGTTCGATATTCCCCACACCATTGTCGTACGAAAATAGCAACAACAATATATTGAACCATCACACATTGAAAGCTCCTAACAAACTCCCAGATTTAGATTGAAAAAAAACAATTGCGGGGTAAATAAACTAGAGGAATTCTAAAAAGATTGGAGCAATTGAGTGCTTTCGGTGGCTAAAATAAAATATTAAAAAGATGGGAGCAATCAAGTGCTTTCTGTCATTATTTTATTGAATTTTAATAATCCTGTCCTTGTGAAGTTTCTTTGCAGTGTAAATATATCATATCATCCACTGAATTTTCGGACAACACCGCGTCGCGATGATTGCCCACGCACCTGCCCGCACCGTGTCTTTGCTTGTACATAATTGTAGGGTAACCTTTGGGGTTGGGGTGTTGAGTCGGGGTTATTTTGGGGAAAACAGCCCCCGGTCTGGTCATATGAGTTGTTGATCATCGATTGGATGTCTATTTTGCTGCTGCCAAATTATTCCAGTGCTCTCATGGCGGGGACCCAATTTTTCATTTTAATGGCAAGTCGGTTGGGTATGTAGGTGGCAATTGTGGACAAATGACATGAAGGGATGGAAAACGTAATTCGAAAAGGCTTC